AACAAAGTTCATAGGGTTTACAGAAAGTGTTCAATAATTGTTAGGAACTAAATTAATTAGGTGCATACATTTGGGCGCAGTTATTTTATAGATTCCAAAACCTTTAGAACTAATTATTGGAACTCAAAATATGTTTGGTAAGCTCAGTGACCCTTGACCTCCATACATTAATGAATCCAATTATGAGAAAGTTTTTATGGGGACCTGTTGAAAGGTTTCCTCCTCTTTGAATATTCTCTGAAGAGCAGCAACATGGGGTCTCAGAACAACTCTCATATGAGCTGAAAACAAAGATTGTTCACCATCATGGTTTGGGGAAGGATACAGAAAGCTCTCAGAGATTCCAGCTGTCTGTTTCCACAGTTAGGAACATATTGAGAAATGGAAGACCACCGGCACAGTTCAAGTTACGGCTCAAGGTGGCAGATCAGATGCCTCCTCAAAAACTACGTCCATGGGTCCAGCATACCTTCAACCAGAATCCAGACTCTCCTTGGAAGCTATAGGTTGCCATAGGTAAAGCATATGTTGCTTTAAGTAAGAAGCTGGAAAAAAAATCACAGGAAAACAGAAGCAAATCTTGTTCTCACTAAAACCTCAATTCACACCCACTTTAGTACAGATTTCATACATAAAACCAACTTTTTTTCTTGGAGCCCAAGAATATAATGACAGCATGTGGAACAAATCTTCTTTCATTTATCTTCGTTCACATTCACCCTGTCATCCTGCTTTCATCTTAGAGGAACAATGGGGCAGCAGCGGCTCATCCTTGTGATCCCGACTCCCCCAGGGTCCCATTCCCATACCACTGGTGTGCAAATGTAGGTCGGCTGTAATGCGAATGATGGTGCCTGCCTGTTTTTTGGATGAGCACTGTAGCCAACCCAGCATCATAAACCAGATATGCCTTTAAAGCAATTATATAGTTTTATTAAATGACGTCGATCTAAAACCTGTATACATTCATTCAAGTGTAAATGTTTACACCATCAGACAAATGCTCCTACTGTGTATTCAGACTGTCACATTCTGTGTAAAACACGTGTCCTAGAAGAGAACATGTCCATCTGTCCCATAATTATACCCGTGACTAACTGATGTAATGTAGTGGAGTGTAACAAATCCATAGCAGAGCTGTGTTAACAAGTTTTTAATGTGTTTGCTTGTTTTAAATGTCTGAACCCCATCTCAGTCTGACTAGCTGTTCGCTCTATAAGTTGTACTCTGATTCTCTAAACTGATCTTTCTGACCACTAACGCACAACAAAAATTATCATTAAGCAATTAAAAAAAACTTGTACAAATAAAACCACCGTTGTTGAATAGCGCTGAGTAAAAGTCAGATAAAAATGCTGCAACACACAACTTCCAGGCTTCTCGCTTATCATTATTTGGCTGGTAAATATTAAAGGGATATTCCACCTCTAGGTGGAATTCTGTCTATTTCCGCCATCCCCAGTGAAAATAAAAAGCTTTTTGTAACCAACACAGTAATTCTTGGTCTGGCAGCAGTTTGTCTGCTTTAGCTTAGCATAAACAATGGAAGTGAATAGCAGAAACTAGTATTTAGTGCAAAAGTGATTAAAAATACTAATTATTCCAGTTATTCCTGGTGAGCTCAATAGTCATGTCACCTGCAACTGAAAAATAAGAAGTAACACGAAGGATTTCCAGGAGCCGATTTAGACTTGGAACTACATAACGACAAAGCACTGCTGTAACCAGCCGCTGCATGGCGCATGGATTTAACACGGCTGCCAGACCAGGAGAATTACTGTGCTGGTTACAAAATGCTTTTTTCTTACTTATCTAACTCTGGGGAATACAGGAATAGACAACATTTCACTTAGGGGTGGAATATCCCTTTAATGATAGAAACAAAACCAGTTACACTAGTTATATTAAACACCAATATTAGCTTAGATTAGACATAGTCTAACAGGGAAAAACTCCGCCTTGTGGCTGCAGAATACCTTCTGCACAAACGAATGAGACAATTTCTTGACAGATAAAAAAAAATACATCTGAAGGATGGAATGTGTTCTCCTACTCTACCATGGGGTAGGGGTTGTATCAACTAGTTGACTAGTCGACTTCACTGCTCTGTAGGGACCTTTTATGCCTTTCATCGACTAGTCGCTGTCATGTGATAATGGCCGACAAGATGCAGTTCTCGGAAAAGACAGCAGGTGATGAACCCCTGCACGTTGGCAGGCGGCGCGCTGTGCCAGACCGTCGGTACTGACATCCGCCGTAAAACGGACATTTGACCGAATTGTGACCTTTACCCTCTTGCAATTTAACCTTCCCCTCACCCCCATCCTAACCTTAACCAGCTTGCGCATGCTATGCTCTGATCGCTGACGCTCTCCAGACATTTGCATCCTGAGCACGGCAACAGTAACATCATCAGATCAGGTGTCGCCACCTCAAAAACAAATATAACAAGCGATCGTTCATGTCGGCTCATTTCCTTTTATGTTTTCTGTCTTTTATTTGTGCCTGATGCGTTTCGCTGCTGTGGAGCGGGGCGCATCACCTTGTCCTCCAGTGATTTCATCTCACTGATGCGGCCAGCGCGCACTCCGCTGTTTTTGCGGTCGGTAGATCTTTTAGAGCTGCAGTTCAAAGGTAACTCATGAGGTGAATATATATGAACCCAGGTAGCAGTTTTTCTTTAGGATTGAGAGGAGATGCAGGAAGATAATAAAACAGGCAGGACAGAAAAATAGTCAAATAAAAACAAGTTAGTTTTTGTACCTGGTGGTTGCAACAAACAGACACCACTGAAGGTAATCACAAGTGAGGAACAGAAAATGAAATAATTATTTTAATTTTTAGAGCAGCAGGAACTTTGAGAGGCTGCAGGTGCATCAGTGAGTTTGCGGCCGCTGCGCAGGGGGAGGGGGAGAGGGCTGAAGCAGGGGAACAGTAAAGATGCAGAAACTACCTTTGTTAAAAGAGATGTTTATCTTTGAAAATGTGGACGCAATTTTAATTGTCAAAAAATCCAGCGAAACAACCCACGTGTATGACATCTTCAACGATTAGTCAAAGTCGACTCGATTTACATTACTTGACTGTCGACGTGTCCTGGGTCGACCCGGGGGCCTCCTGCCGACAGGACATGCCCGAAACACCTCCCCAGGGAGGCGTCCAGGAGGCATCCTGACCAGATGCCCATAACACCTCAACTGACTCCTTTTGATCCGGAGGAGCAGCGGTTCTACTCCGAGTCCCTCCCGAATGTCCAAGCTCCTCACCCTATCTCTAAGGCTGAGCCCGGCCACCCTACGGAGGAAACTCATTTCGGCCGCTTGTATCCACGATCTCGTTCTTTCGGTCATTACCCAAAGCTCATGACCATAGGTGAGGATTGGGACGTAGATCGACCGGTAAATCGAGAGCCTGGCTTTCTGGCTCAGCTCCCTCTTCACCTCGACAGATCGGCTCAGCGGCCGCATCACTGCAGACGCCGAACCAATCCGCCTGTCGATCTCCCGATCCCTCCTACCCTCACTCGTGAACAAGACCCGAGATACTTAAACTCCTCCGCTTGAGGTAGGACCTCTCCCCCGACCCAGAATTGGCAAGCCACCCTTTTCCGGTCGAGAACCATGGTCTCAGATTTGGAGGTGCTGATCCTCATCCCAGCCGCTTCACACTCGGCCGCGAACCTACCCAGCAAGAGCTGAAGGTCAGAGCTGGATGAAGCTAGGAGGACCACATCATCTGCAAAAAGCAGAGATGAGATTCTCCTGCCACCAAACTCGACACACTCCACACCACGGCTGCGTCTAGAAATTCTGTCCATAAAGGTAATGAACAGAACCGGTGACAAAAGGCAGCCCTGGCGGAGTCCAACCCTCACCGGGAACAGGTCCGACTTACTACTGGCTATGCAGACCAAACTCACACTCCTCTGGTAAAGGGACTGAACTAAACGTGATGTTATTTTATAAAACTTTACTCTGATTTTAATCATCGCATCATTGTTTACATGTTAGCAGCATCTTGTAGCACTTCTAGAGCTTCCAGTGTTCAACCCAGATGTTTATTTTTTATTAGTGGACTTGCTCTTGGCTGTAGCTGGACTAGTCGAGAGCAGAGGCTGTTCAGACCAGTGATTATAACTTCAATGCAGAACCGAACTTTAAAGCGTTCCTGAGAGGTGCCACGCCTTTGTTCCAAATGAGATAAATGTATTTGTTTGGGTTTCCAACCACTCATTCAATATTAATCCATTTATTCATGAATGGTGCTGCATTAGAAAATATAAGAGATTAAAGTGTGTGGTGTTTGGAGCAGACTGGAACCGGATCCCTCCAACACAAAAGCTCACTCTGATCCCTGGAACACAATGGAGACAGTCCCCTGTGCCCTTGGGCCAGGCAGCAAATAATACCCATAATGGAGCATGTCTGTGACTGCTGGAATCCCCTGTGGCTGGACTAGTCCCGCTTCCAGAGGCAGAGACATGATGCCAGGCAGAAAGCGGCACACACCGCATTACAGTATTATTCCATTATCGACTGCTCTTTGAGTCGTCAGCAGGAAAACAGCGTTGCGTGTGCTGCTAATGAAGTGTGACACAAGCTTCTTCCAGTCTTCAAACCCATCACCCTAAAGCAGTGCAGCTCATGCCGGCTGTAGCAGATACGAGTCCCATGGCAATCCTGCCTAAATCAAGAGACACAGATCCACACACTTCCTGTTCAGCTCAACTCCTCAGACAGATGTGATGAAGGAAAACTGGGAATTTAGGCACAGAAATAAAACAGTTACGTGAAATTCCTGCTGAAATATTCATGTTTGTGATAAAAGTGTTTGATGAGAAAAATAGAACATGACTACGAGGGCCGATCCCTCTGAAACACCATTGTTCCAGATTTATGGCCTCAAAGTTGAGCGAGGGGAATTTGAAGACTGGAAACGGCTCCTGTGATCGAGTGGCTCTCCAGCGCCACACTGTGGTTCCTCAAAAACAAAACACTAACAGATGTACTTTTTTTTTATTTGGAGTATTAAGAACTGTTTCTTAAACATCTGAAGTATCGCTGGCAGAAGAAGCAGCTCAGTTTAGGCTTCTGGTGAAAGCTCAGAGAGACGCAGTGCAAACAGGACAGGAGGTGTACCGTACAGCGTTCCTCTAACACGACCCAGGTTCACACACACACACACGCACGCACACACACAAACAGATGGACACACACACACACTATAAATACGAAATGTGGATTTTAGAAAAGCCTTTCGGCTAAATGATCCAAACGGTCAGCTGGAGCTGAACATCTGGAGTCCAAATGCAGCTGACAAGAGGTGCTAGGAATCAAGGCACAAACTTCAACCTTCAGTCGAGTAGATAACCCTGAAGAAGAATTATTCTGTGATTTTTTTTCTGTGTCACAGTCTCGTCCAGATGAGCTCAAACAGCCCGCACCAGAACAGCGGCCATCCCCGAATTCAGGTTCTGCATCCTCTTTTCCTGGTGGTTGCATCAAGGATCGAGCTTCCTTCCATTCCCAGGTTTGGTTCTCTCAGCTCGTCTCAGGGCGTGTGCTTGTCTCTCGTGCGTAATGCCGTTCTGTCACACGTTGAGGTTCTTCAGTTGCTCGTATGTGAGGAAAAACTGACGAAGTTAAGGAAAACAGGTAGACGTGTGTGTGTGTGTGTGTGACCACAAATCCTATCCTTTCATTTAGGAATTAAAACTATATGAAAATTTTGTACCAGGACTGATGGTAAATGATGAAATAACAAAATTACTCTCACCAGGTGACACATGCACAACTAGGCCTGACTCAGGAGGGCAGAATGAGGCTGATAGAAGAGAGAGGACCAGGTGGTGATGGTGGTTTGGAGTCATCACAGCGGTCCCTGGCCGCAAAGGTCAGGGACACGTTGATGCTTCAGCAGCATAGACCTTACCATCAGTGAGGAGGTCAGTCTTCCTTTTCCTGTTCACTGAAGGTCTCCTACTCTCACTGACTGGTGTAACTGTGTGTCTGCTCTGTCTTCTCGATCCCGTGAGTCATGGAGGATGGCTGCTTATACTGAGCCAGGATCCTCTGGAGGTTTCTTCCTGTTAAAAGGGAGTTTTCCTCTCCACTGTCGCTAAATGCTTGCTTAGTATGAGGATTGCTGTAAAGTCACTGACACTAGTCAGTGACTTGATGAAATTTGATGGGTTCTTTATATAGGAAACATTATTACTGATTGGCCTAATGAACTGACCTGAATTGTAATGTTTATTTTGTGAAGTGCCTTGAGATGACTCTTGTGATTTGGCGCTTTATAAATAAACTTGAATTGAATTGAATTAACTGGGATGATGAGGTGGTGTTTCCACAAAGTTACACAAAAGCATTAAACTGATCTTTCTTACGACGTAGTTCGTCAGTCAGGAGACATTACCTCACAGACTAGGTTGGGCTATTTGTGTAATTTTTCCCACCGCCAGTCGTGAGTCCAATAAATGACGATGGGCGACTTATTTGTGCATGGGACTCTTTGGGCAACGTCACGATGAACGGACTGATTTACGAACACAGAAGAAGTCCAAACATTAAATTTTTTTTAAATTTATATAGAAGCACCGCGCATGTTTGCAGGAAGAGAAATGTAGATTTTTCTTTTTTGTTGAATGTTGTATTTGTAGTTTGGTAGAGTGACGTATAAACGGCTCGTATTAAACACGGCTCAAGTGTTAAAAAGAAGCCTCACCTTTGGTTTCCTGTCAAATGTCTGTAGAGAGCTTGCTGAAGAAGTTATGAGGTTCTGGACTTTTGCCTCAAACAGACTCGTGGCTGTTGTTCTGGATGAATCCACGCTCTGCTGACACACTCGAAGCAGGTGCTGAATAACGAGCGCTACTCTCAAGTTAAAGTTTTAAAACAGGAAACAAAAATAATCAGAAGTCTTCCGGACTCTCTGAAAGTTGGAAGGGTTTCCACTCGACAGTGCGCTGTTGTGCACGATGTCGAGTGCGTCACTGAGCTCCTCTTCGGCGCGCCGCTTGCGCACACTGTCAGCAGCTGGGTGTGGAGAAAGTGTGAGCTAATGCTCAGATGAGCCGATGGAGAATTTTTGTTTTGTTACCTCTGCGCGTAATGTGTAAAATATCTGTCATTAACAATCACAAGCGAACAAATAAATTAGGGGTGGGACTTGATTAAAAAACTAATTAGAGGATTTGTAATTAATCTTAATTAATTTTGTTTTAATCTTTCTGGAAAATGTGCCCCAAAGCAAATTTTTAAATGAAAAATAATGAGGCAGAGAATCAAACAGTCAGGGTATCTGCAGGTTTAAGGGAGCCAAATTTAAGACTTTTTAAGACCCTTTTTAAGGCCACTTTGACCAAATTTAAGCAATTTTTTTTTAATTAAATTTAAGCTATAATTTCCAGCTATTGCCTGGAACCGGTGCTAACCACGTCACGATTGTGGGATTAGCCATCCAGTTACCATTAAACTTGCACTTCCCCATGGCGCAAGCTCCCACTAGCTTAACCAGCTAATGTGCTCATCTAAAAATATCCCCCTTTCACAACCAACTGAACGTGTACGGTTCCGCTTACACCAACATCATACACAAAAAATGCTGAACGTTAACTAGAAATTCATGAAAATTTTATAGAAATAAAAGAATTTTGTTTATTGGGTCTTTGGTAATTTAAGACCTTTAGAAACTGTATTTAAGGATTATTTGTCATTTTTAAAGATTTTTAAGGCCTTAAATTTGGAAAAGCTAATTTAAGACTTTTTAAGGACCCGCGGATAGCCTGAACAGTAGACATGGATATTATTACTGTAAACTAAAGCTTTTTAATGAAAATAAATATAAATGCATTTAATTATTCAAATGTCACTGTGTGATATGAAATTATGAAATAGAAATTTTTTATGCGTCATTTTTGTTTAATTAATTAATTATAATTCACCCGTTAAAGTCCCACCCCTAAAATAAATAAACAAATTGCCTCTTGTAAAAACAACCATAACGGCTCAGCCCATCGTCGATGGTCAAATAATTGGTCCCATCGCCCAACCCTATCGCAGAGGTTATGATTTTAAGGTTCTTTTAATGGTTTTTCAGTGTCTTAATGATCACGGGCCTTCTTATCTTTCAGAACTGCTTTTACTATATAAACCCTCGCGGTCTCTGCGCTCCTCTGGCAGCCGTCCCCTAGTTATCCCTAAAGTTAAGACACACCCACGGTGAGGCGTCCTTCAAGTATTACAGCCCTCGCCTTTGGAACGGGCTGCCGGAGGACCTCAGGGCCGAAGGGAACATCCAGGCTTTTAAGAATAGGCTCAAGACCCACCTTTTTAGCTTAGCTTTTAACTGATTACTACTTATCTAGTTTGTTTAACTGTATCGCTTCTCGTATTTGTTTATTTATATGAATACCTATTTATCTCTTTTACTTAGTTTTATTATTTTAGTTACATCTTAGTGTTTTTATATTATTATGTTTTCTTTTACTGTCTTTATTATCACTTTTTATCAGTTACTTTCTATCCATATTAGCTTTTGTTATTTTACAGTTATATATTTTAATACGCCAGTGTTTCCTCTGCGGAGCCCTCTCCCTTGGGGCCGGTGGTCGGCGGCCGGGCCGCTCCTCGGGTAGTGCCCGGGCAGTGGCTGGGGTCTCCGCCCTCCCTCCCTGGGCGTCATGGACCAGTGTCTTGGCTGCTGCCGTGGATCTGTTGCTGCCGAGGCAGATGGCTCCACTGATGACGTGTCGGCCATTACCTGACCCATCTGACCCAGCCTGGGGGATGGGAATATGGGATCTATGGGGCCATTTTAATCTGTGAAGCATTTTTTTTGTGTGAAAAGTGCTATATAAATAAAGTTGATTTGATTTGATGAGTTAAGCCAAACAACAACAGAAACTGAGACGGCTGAAAGGATACAATAATGTTCCATGGTCCCAGGCGGAGCCAGTTTGGAAAGAAGCCCTTGTAGAGGGCCATGAAGCCCTCCAAGCGCCAAGTCTGCAAGAGAAACAAATGAGCAAAAAACAATTTAATCTAATTACCCTCTGATGATCACTCTAGAAGTCCCCTCTGAGTCTTTAAAACTAGGAAACCAGTGACATCAGAGGTTAGATGTTCTGCATTAAGCCCAGTTTATACTTCATCAGCATGTTTGCACACACACACACACACACACACACACACACACACACACACACACACACACACACACTTTCCTTTGATTCTTCTTCCTTGGTGTCAGCGTTATGAAGCAGTTCTCCTCCAGGACAGCAGGGGGCGTGTCTGGGGAATCCTGCCATCATTGCAATGACATCTCTAGTGTGTTCATAATATTTTCATGTATTTTAGACACACTTTAACACTGAAACACTGAAAAATTTGTTATATCATGTAAATAAAAATTCATTATTTAAGTGCAGCAGATCAAAGTTCCTAGGCGAATTTCCGCACGGACGCCGTACTGAGTGACGCATGATGGCTGCACGCACCCGATCTCCATTCAAAAAACGTGACCTGCAGATCCTGATCAACGCCTTTCAGAGCGGATCAAACCAGCTGGCTGTCGCTGCTACCGTGGAGCCTGTAGTGACGCTGAACGCAGCGTCGCCCCTCCCTCCCTTCTCTCACAAAACTGTAAACAAACACGTCTGCTGAACTTCCCCCCTGGGATAACGGATGTAAAGTTTTCATCCCACAACAAAAATACGGCGCGGAGTAAGCTCGTTATTTAATATGAGTTTTAAAGAAGAAACTCTGGGGCGGTGTGAGGTGAGTTTTTAAGGCTCATCAACAGTCAAACACAACACTTGTCTGTATGAGCGTGACATTCATAGCTGCGCAAATAAAGTGTGAACATATTAAAGACATCACGCTAGATCAGCAGCCTGTGATGACACCTGGTTCTGCTCACTATAGGAGTAGCTTCAGATAAAAAATTAATAAATATAATTACAAAATACCAAAAATTTATCAAACTGAGCTCTTCAAAACACTGAACCGAACAGAGTATGATTTTAGCGTACCGTTACAACCAGGGTCCGAAATTAACACTCGCCACTCGCCAAATGCGAGCAAATTGCTCCGTTTGGCGAGTAAATTTTTTAGCTCTATCTGCCACATAGCGAGTAAATGTTTGCACCAAATTATTTATGTTTATCAGTCATCTTCCATGGATTTCTGTGATACTCCTCCCGCCTGCATGCAACGTACACAAACGTACGCGAAACGCGAACGCCGCATCCAACGTCATTTCTGCCTATCCCGTTCAATCAGTTTATCAAGTTAGCAGTTAGCTTTGTGTTGAAACTAGCGGTGAAATGTGGCGGTTTTTAACTGGAGTCAGCCAGCCTTCCAAAAGAAAACTCGTCGAACTGGAAGAAAAACCACCAGGACCAGTGGCAACCAGAAGATTTTGTGAAAAGTGGCGAACTGGAGATGGCGGAGTCGTGAGACACTGGCTACATTATGAACCAGAATCTGCGCAAATGAGCTGCACCGCTTGCCGCCAGCACGCTCGAGAGAAGAACTGTAACAACTCGTTTGTCACAGGAAATAAGACCATGAAGCTTGAGACTATTCGAGAACATGAAAACAGCAAATGCCATATTGCCTGCACATCCATGTCCCGGGCTCAACCTGAGTCTCCACTGGTGACACCCACGGTCTCGGCGCTAATGGCTATGTCAGAGAAAACAAGGAGTCTGACTAGATTTCAATGAAAGAGTTCATAAAAACATCTCTGAAAAATAAATAAATAAATAGTAAAATGACAAAAGAGTTGTTTTTCTTATTAATTGATGTTTTAATTATTTTGTCACTCCTCTCTGTTTGGAATCAACATAATATAGAATAAGGTGCTTTAGGTAGATCTAAATCATTTAGAATTCTGGCCGGTAAAAAATATGCTCGGCCGGTAGATTTTCATCATCTACCAGCCAACTTGGCCGGTGAGTCAAAAATTTTGTTTCGGACCCTGGTTACACCCCTACTACTACTTGGTGTTGCCGTACCTGCAGCAGACAGTCCAGAGTTCCCTGGTACAGAGCTCCTCCTTTCTGGTTCATCATGCGAGTCCGTACCACGTCCACTGGGTTCGAGGCCAAAGCTCCTGCAAGGCCACACACAAAGCTAGACCTACAAGACACAAGGATATGGAGTTATTGTGGCGGTTTGTGTGAACAGCTGCTGCAAAAGTAAAACCCAAATAAGCTGATGTCGGCTGAAATATTAACATTTCTGCTGAAATCTTTCACAGCCAGCTGTTGTGAAGAATCGACAGCTCCTTGCCATAAATACTAAATATTAATTAACCTTTGGGATATTTCAGACATTTGTCGTACTGTTTGAACATCATAAACAAGTGTAATATTACAGTGTACTAAAATTAGCGCATGACAACCCAAACTCACAGGAAGTGTGTGTACACGGTGTCCCCCATGTAACCCGACCGGATCAAATGCTTCTTGGTGATGTCATAGATGGGAAGCTCGACCCCGACCACGATGGCTGCCCTCTGAGCTGTGAGAGATACACCCTGACACAAAAAAAAAAAAAGGGGGGGGGGGAGTGGCGGGGAGTCACCAGCTGAAAGTCACTGAGCCTCAGCTCAAAGAAATTAGCTCTGTCAAATCCAGCCAATCCCAATCTACAAAAATCTACAGTGGATCACAGTAAAGCTTCTCATGTCATCATTTAGACATTGCACAGTAACATGGAAAAAGTAGGGGACATTATTTATAATGTTATCACGGAAAAACCAGGGTTTCCCTTACATAGGCGTAGCCGTGGCGACCCGCCACGGCTGAAATCCCACCGCCACGCCTGCAAGATCCCAAGTTTTTTTTTTGCGCCGTTTCCCGAAGAAGCAGCGGGAACTACTATGTTGTCGCTTGTGATCACAGCCGGCGGCATCAAGGAGGAGCAGGCAGGGCAAGGTGAAGTTACAGCAAAAGTTACTGAGTTTAAAATTAGAAAGGTAGCAGTGGATATAATGCTTTGTGGTTTACATGTTTCAATAGCATTAAGATAAATGAGTGTTGACGATCTTGACAGGGTTTCCTCCAGTGCTTATTAGGCCAGGTTCTCCTCCCCCCACCAGGCTAAGCATCACTTATTCATGTAAAATTTATTTATTTTTTCATGTCTGACTTTAACCGCATCTAATACTGTATTACGGCGTGAGCGCAACAGCGACAACTTAAGATCGATGTGTGAGCAGCCTGAGAGGTCGGGTGTTTTCATCTGAACCCTTAAAACCTCCAGCAGGCTACGCTGCACTACTGACGTGTTAGCGCGCAGCGCTAACAACTTAGCGACGTGACATGTCTCGGAGAAATCGTAAAAACACGTTGGACGCTTCTTCTGAAGCGGGAAAATAACACCTCTTCTTAAGCAGAGCACGACGTCGCCTCGGCTCGTTCACCCTCTGCCGAGCCGGACTGAGCTCGATAACATTGACCCAGCACAGCCACTGGGTCGTTGGAGCTGCCCCGTGACTGCCTGATGGAAAACCAGCGGGTTTCATCAGACTCGTAAAGTAAGTAAGTAAGTAAAGTAAAAGTTTATTTATATAGCGCCTTTCACAGATATAAATCACAAAGCGCTGTACAACATGATAAAGATCAGGGCAAATACCTCTAACCAATAAAAACATCAGAAAACCAATAGCAGTGATAAAATAGAAAATAAAATCATGAGTATAAACAAAGTGAAGGTGTGAACCCGAACAAAGCCATCTTTTTGAAACATTTAGGGAGGGAACGCCTGGATGAAAAGGTGAGTTTTTAGATGATTTTTAAAGACCTCTACAGTCTTAGAGAGACGGAGGTTTGAAGGCAGACTGTTCCAAAGTCTGGGGGCAATAGTCTGAAAGGCCCTGTCCCCTTTGGTTTTCAGTCTGGTTTGAGGAACAGCCAGGAGGTTTTCAGATGTGGATCTAAGGTTCCGAGAGGTGGTGTGTTGGGATAAAAGCTCAGATAGGTAGCTTGGAGCCTGGTTGTTAAGAGCTCTATAGGTCAGGACTAAAACTTTAAACTGTATTCTATATTCTACCGGGAGCCAGTGGAGGGACTGTAGAACTGGAGTGATGTGAGCTCGTCTGCTGGATTTGGTTAAGAGTCTGGCTGCTGCATTTTGGATGGCTTGAAGGCGTGAGAGGGAGGTTTTGCTGAGACCAGTAAAAAGAGCGTTACAGTAGTCTAAGCGTGATGACACAAAGGCATGGATGATTTCTTGTTTTTGCTGGGGACCCCCTGTATTTTACCGCTCCCTCCTGCAGTCTTCCCCTATTAACATTTAAAATGATTCTGTAAACTCCGTGTATCAACAGAAAAAATCTCTGCCTCTGCCAGCTGCAGTAAATGTAGTCTCCAAATAATAAATAAGAGGTGCATTCATCTGTGTATCTCCTTTGACCCGCATTAGTGATATTCTCAGCACCAGAACAATGAAGCAAAGAAACAGATTCCTGAGTTTGTTAGTAATTTTAATTATTAGGTGCATCTAACCTGCTCTATTTCTCTCTGAAATTAGATCAAATCAGTGGTTCTATGGGTTGTCTCCACTCTGCACTAGAAAATTTTACTTTGTTTAGAGACGTGTCATAGTCCCCCCCCCCCCCCCCCCCCCACACACACACAGCTGGAAAAATTCCTAGGGGAAACACTGATTTTTAAAATGACCAAAACTGTCATAAGGCGTGGGCTACCTTCCACAGTCCCCTTGTTCCCTCCTCCTGGTAAATGTGAATGAAGTTGCCCATCATGCTTCCCTGGATCACATTTCCCTGAGCCTGCATCCGGATCTGGGAGAACAGAGACAGGCACAAAGCGAAACTTGAGAAAAGTCTGGTATCAAGCGCCAGCTATTAATTACAACGATTACACTGTCTGTCCTTGTTTGTTTCTTGGCTGTTGAGTCGGACCATCATGAAACATAATGTTCCCGACCTGCTGGGGCATGTGATGATCTACCAGAACAGTAAGGTGTCCCAGATAAAGGTTGGGCAAAATATTATCAGTGCAGTTAAGTTCCCGTGTCATTTACAGAACACCATGTTAGGCCTTTGAGGTTTCAGTCTAAAAATAGTGGTAAACAAGTGGGGTCGTGAAGGCACGTGAGGTCTTTTCCTCCAGAGGGCACGCTACCAAAATGAAACTACAGCTCCAACAGGATCTTCTGGACAAACTGCTGCACAGCTAGAGGGTAAAACACCATCAGACCTGCTCTGCTGCTTCAGATGCAAGACAGATAAGACAACTATCATGTATACAAACAGCTACCTTCAGCACATCTGTTGGGTTGGCAATGGAGGAGGAGATTACTCCAGAAAGAACACCACATGACACGTTAGTCAGCAAAGTCTCATCTGCAAGAGAACAGGAGGAAGGCTGTAACTGAGAACAGATCTGACACCACAGAACCCAGAAACGCTTTGGATCAGGAGCAGATGTTCTTTTATATGAAAAAGGGAGACAATGCTGAACGTGTTCAGACATGGTATGTGCGTGTGTGTGTCAGAGTCAGACACATGCCTGCTGTGAACTTCAGGTGTCACCTCACAACAGCATTGCTGTGTGTATGCATGAGTTTAGAGGGGAGGAGACACACACACACCCCTACCTTCTGGCCTGTCAACAAGCAGGCGTTTAAAACTCTGGTATGTACCAATCTTTATGGTCCCATAGGAGGCCTGGCGCAGCATCGCTGGAGCAATTCTGCAAAAATCAGGTTTATTTTTACTAAAAGCTGCACAAAGTAAACAAAGCACTGCGGTGAGAAACGAGTGAAGATGACTGACCCTGAGTAAAGCGCCCGGAGCCCCTCCTCTCTTCCTACCCGCAGCATAGCGTGGAGCATGCCTCTGTAGCGGATCTCACGGTACTTGCTGTCCCCCACCTGGCCCTGGACTTGGAGACGCGTCTTGGCCAAGTCGATCGGAAATGTCCCTGCAACACCAGGCTTTGTTATCAACTCATTTCAACCACAGCCTCTTTTTTTTTTATCAACTCAAGAGCAGCCCGCACGCGCACGGCCCTCCTCCACGCGCCATCACTCACCACATTCCGCCGTCACAGACGCTAACCCGCCGAAAACGAACGGCTTCCAGTTGATGCTAGACATGTTCTCCGGCCGCGAACCGAGTCTCAGCCCCAGGACGAACCGAACCGGGCAGAATACGGTCGCTCCGTCGTGAGAGCGGTGTTTAGTCCATCCACGCCACCCGGCCCCTTCAGACCTGAAGACGGATTAGCCCCGCCCACCTGCCGCTTCTTCACGTTTCACTATTTTGAATCTGAAAAGTAATTTTTTTTTATTTGAAACCTTTACTTTATTGTTGTGTAAGGTCACAATTACATTATTTGATGTCATTTCCAGTCAAATAGTTTCCCCTCATGTCAATATTTCTTATTTAATTTAGCTTGATCTCACTTTTGTCCAGTTTGATCAACTACTTTAAATCTCTTTTAATTTTTTTTTCTTCTGTTAGGCACAACTCTTTTTTAACTTAACCATTTGCGTTCAACTCCAGACATAAGTCTGGGTGACGAGGACTGGTAAATGTTCTTGTGGTGTCACCAAGCCCCCACAATGCAGGTCAAAAATTGAGTCCAATGCTTAGCAAAATAAATAAATAAATATGTATCGTTTACATTATATCACAGTTCATGATAAGACAATCACTTTTACGGATTTCTGACAAATTTTACATACTTTCTGAATCGAGAAAACTCTGGAAAGCATCTTTGAAGTTCTTGTAAAATGTTTTTGTGTGCTAATGCATCGACATATACATATATGGACCATGGGTTTCCATAGACTCCAATAACAAGTTTTTGAAGAGAAATGGGAGGTGTACACCACCGCCATTTTGACCGTGTCACAGGTTCCGTCAAGCCCAGACAATTCCACAAAAGGGAAGAGAGGAGGAGCTGAGGGTGGGGCTGTAAGGCTGGGATCAACTGACGACACCCGGTCGAACTAGCTACGAGCTAACCTAAAGCTAACCCAAAGCTAACGCGGAGGTGGGAGCTAAGCTAACGGAGGTAGCAACCTAGCTACAACCGGAGTTAACTGTGCACAACACCAGAGCTTCTGAGTCAGAGATACGCCGGGCTGACCGCTGGGTAAAACCGGGTGTGGGTCCTATTCAGCCAGAGTTTCGGGTGAGCTCATTGTGAAGCCTGGCCCCACCCTATCATGTGAATTCCTGAGGTCAGATGGCCCAGGATATGCGTGGACGTTGAGGCATCTGGGAAGGGATCTCAAAACTGGATTATAGATGGCAGACGGTTGGTGTCGTAAACCACCGCCTCTGTTCAAGGATGGTTGCTCACAGTGGACATAAATGGCTTCCTTTACTCCTCTTTCAAACCATCTGTCCTCTCTGTCCAAAATGTGAAAGTTGGCATCCTCGAAAGAGTGACCTTTGTCCTTTAGATGCAAATGAACTGCTGAGTCCTGTCCCGTGGAGGTGGCTTTTCTATGTCTGGCTCTGGCTGAATAGGACCCACACCCACCCTCACACCTGGGCTCATGTGTTTATGTAGAAGATCATCAGGGGGTCTTTTGTTCCCTCTTCGGGGGGAAACTCCCACTGGGTTTGAATCTGGGACTCTCCACCATTTGACCATAGAACTGAAGAAGCCTCTCGGATGAGAGGTGAAACGTCTTCAAGCAACTCAAAGAAGTCCAGACGCTTTTCTTCCAAAGCTCCTTAGACTACAATGACCTGGATGACTGAGAACCTTCACAGACATACTCCTGATAATAACATTTTACTTTCTTTGACACTGAATGTGCTACTACTAGTTTACCCGTTTAATTATAGATTCACTAGGATAAATACAATAATGTTTAACTCTCACCAAATAGAATGTTTACTAAGAAATCACAGTGTAACTACATAAACATTACTTGGTATACATAGTGTGTGTGTGTGTGTGTGTGTGTGTGTGTGTGTGTGTGTGTGTGTGTGTGTGTGTGTGTGTGTGTGTGTGTGTGTGTGTGTGTGTGTGTGTGTGTGTGTGTGGGTGGGTGGGTGGATTGGTGTTGGTGTATGCATGTGTCTGCTCTGTCTTCTCGATCTCCAGTGAGTCGTGGTGGATGGCTGCTTATACTGAGCCAGGAGGTTTCTTCCTGTTAAAAGGGAGTTTTTCTCTCCACTGTTGTGTAGGGTTTAGGAAATTGAGTGCTTTAAGAGCTCAATATATATTGCCTTCACTTAATAACAATAATAATAGCCTTTATTGTCATTGTACAGGATACAACGAAATTGGAGTGCCACTCCCACTACTTATGACCAATAAGCTGTGACACTCTATATAAATATAAAATATCAACCTGCTTGGTCTTTACTGTATTTAATCAGAAGATTCTAGGATTCTTTGTTTTATTAAGGGATTGTAAACACTTTGTTTTGATTCAGAAAAGAACTTATTTTACAAACAATTAAAACATGACAGGCTAACTAACATTTACTGTGAGTGGATGGAGCTAGATGTGATGTATGGACCTATGTGTGAATGCAATGTTATCAGAACTTCCGTATCTAGGAGAGCTGAGTTCTGGATGTAAAAGAATTTGGTTTGCGTTAAGCTATGAAGTTGATTATTATCAAAAACACATCAGGCGCAATCTGTCATGTCTACATACCCACTCGAAGACGCTCGTGATAGATCTGGAATGCCAAAGTCCTCGGACTTCCAGGCACAGAGGTCCGTAGAAGAAACTACGGCGCTACTAGGCCGGTCTTAGAGTTGTCGCCAGGTCACAACAGACGGATGGAACCATGCATCTGGCAGACTCTTAAGGAGTCTGAACAATAACAGCTTGTTCTGCAGGAACTGTTTGCTATATCAGCTTCGCAGATGCAAAAAGATTTTGACGACGTGTCAAAAGCTTTGATGGTTAAAGAGGGTTTTGCTTCAGATGGCCGCTCTGAAGTTTTCACAAGAACTGATGAATCACCAGAGTGATCCAGTTTTAATGTTCTCATGTTATGATTTGTGTAGCCAACCAGAGGTTGACAAGTTGAGGAATGGTTACCAAGACAACTCAGAAACATGCCTTCCTTGATCTGGATGCTCTGATCTGGGGTAAGGGGCTATCTATGTGCCACACATTTTACTTTACTTTACTTTGTCCTTGTGTGAGTGCAAATGGTGATGACCTTGTCATATCAACATGCTGAAACATATATCAATCACTATAATCATAACATAACATTCATTTCAAACTTCAATCATTGAGCACAGATTAATGAAAGCATTTCATTATATAATAATTATTATAAGTAACAATAAACAAACGTTTATTTACTGATCATCTAGCTGATAAGTTTTAGAAGTTCATATTTAATTTAAGAAATCATTCTTTGATTTAGCATCTAATCCGTGCTGCGAGTGTTCCTTATTTGGAGGCAGGAAGAATTCTGTAGGACGATAAGGGAAGCCTTGAGGAAAGAACATCATTGTTGACAATTCATTATCACGTGTTCAGAGCTGCAGAGAGGCTCTGAGCCTCAGCTGATGGGATGAAGGCCAATTTAAAGGGAACACACGCAGCCTTGTGTCTCCATTTTGACCAGATGTTGAATGGTCAAACAGTACCTAAAAACCAACCATTGCTGGACATTACAGTCGCTAAATGCTTGCTTAGTATGAGGATTACTGTAAAGTCACTGACACCAGTCAGAGACTTGATGCAATGTGTTGGGTTCCTTATATAGGAAACTTTTTACTGATTGCGTTAATGAACTGACCTGTATTGGAATGTTTACTATGTGAAGTGCCTTGAGAAGACTCTTGTCGTGATTTAGCGCTATATAAATAAACTTGAATTGAATTCAATTGAATTGAATTGAAGCCGTTCATCTTGTCTTCCGGTAACAAACCTCCCTGGAAGTTGGCAAAGTGCATCTGCACAACCCCCACCCACCACTGTGACGCACATTGGTGGAGCGCTACCCAACAACCGTGCGCCCTCACTCACACGGGAGGAACACGTTGCTGTTACAGTTGCTCTGGATACAAGAAAACATGCACAGCAAATTCTGACCCTGGTGGAAAAATCAAGCTGCTGTGAGTGTAGGAAGGGGTGCACCTCCTGCGCAATCAGGTTTCCTGAAATTGGCCCGTTCCAGCAAGAATTAGCCAACAGCCGAACTATTTGTTTAACATGATACAAATATGTAACTTCCTGCCTAAACCCTCCTGTGGAATGTGTCAGCGATCCTTGCATGCAGACATTTTGGATGGCATGCATGGTTACTGCAGTCTTCCTCTTTGCCTCCTGCTGACCACTTTGTTTTTGTGTTTTTTTTATGTGTCTGCCGTGGTCACAGCTCCATCGCTCTTTGCTGCAACTGTGCGGTGCCACTAGAGGGCAGTAAAACACGTTTCCTGCCTACATCCCTTACAAACTCCCAATTTCAGTCTTTGTTACCATGGTTACCAGTGAAATGCCACCAATCAGTATGGTCCCCCATAGTTGGAACAGACCCTCTGGTCATCTTTCTATCACTCACTCCAAAAGGCACCACTCCCAGTGTTCATGAAATGGCAAATGACCTGTAATGACCTGTATAGTGCCTTCTAGAATCCTATTTTTGACATTTGTCTGAAATGAATAAATCAGCATTTTAATGACATTTCAACTTTAGTCTAAGAATTGTTTTTAGAATTTCTCAGCATTTTCACGAAGATCTTGACCATATTTTTTCTATAATAATTTATAGATAACACACTAAATAAAGGAATAATTATAAGACATCTTTTTTCAAAAACAGATGTTTTCTGATTTAGGGATTAAATCTGATTTAGCCACACCAACAGAATGTCATATAATACAGAGACTCACTCAGCTGTAGCATCACTCATTATTATGCCCCTAAAGTGGAATTATTCACCTCATTCGACTTATTTAATCTTCTGTAAAATAATAGCAGATAATTTGGCATTAGCCTTTCAGCTTTTGAGGTCTAAAGGGAAATATACATTGAATTTATTTGTAAATCTGGTAGTTTCAACATTGTAATTTCCTTCTTCTGCCTGCAGAGGTCAGTGGAGAACCACAGGTCTCTGGTGAGGTGACTCCAGTCACCAGGTCTCCGAGAGGACTAGGATGACTAGTGAATGAAACCAGCTCACACACAGAGTCTGATCTGATGTAATGTGTAATGTGTCACCCTATATGTTTGGGTTGTTTTGTAAAGACATCGGCTCCATTTCATCTTCCCTCCCATCATGTTTGTCCTTCTTCCCAGTTTGTGAAAAGGGCTGGATCCACAGGCAGCGTAGTTATTATGATCATATGCTAGTTGCATCGTTTGATAAATGGTCTGGCTATGGGTCAGTGGCCATTCGAACAATATTAATGACCAGGAGAGAGCAAAGGGTGTGTGTGTGTGTGTGTGTGTGTGTGTGTGTGTGTGTGTGTGTGTGTGTGTGTGTAGCATTGGCGAACGGAAATAGACGAATGGAAATATTGGAGTTTTATCTGAAACCAATAAGAAGAAGGGAAGCGTGGTGCGTCTGAAACTGGCCATATTAATGTGGTGATTTGTCAAAAGGAGCCTGAGGACAAACCTGGAGCAAGAGGAGGAGATATATCTGTGTTTGCTAGTCCGCAGAATAAAGCCAGTTGTGTTATTCAAGAGAAAATCAAGTCATTTATTTGACCTGGACCTGCTTATTGACTCTCCATCTTTTCTCTTCTGAAAAACTGAAAATTGCAACAGTGAATTATATAAGAGACATGTGACATGTAAGAGACAATAGCTGTTTTTAAGGCTCACCTACAGTAGCTCATCCCAGTAGATGATATTTTATGAGAGGACTGAAGCTGACCGAGGCTTTAATCTGAAGCAACTGTCGTGGGAAACATTGGAGTCAATAATCCTGATATGCCTACTTTTGGCCTGCGTAAGGAGACTGTACTTGTATGGGGAGAATACTCTAACTCCGTGCAGAAAGGCCAAAGTCAGAGTTTGCTGCAAGGAAAGAGTACTACCTACTGCATCACCATGCAGTCAATTTTATCTGGTCATTCAGGCCACTGCCTCCACTGGTGACACCTTTGACCTCTCATCTGTTCCCTGCTGGAGGGGGAAAAGTAAAAAAGGCAGCTCATTCGAAACTCCTTTATTGTTTTTCAGGTGCTGAGTCTGGAGTGGGGACATGGGACGACCGTTCAGAGGGTTAGGGTTAGGTAATTGTCTACCTCATAATTGGAAGGCTGAAGGTTTGATTCCTTCTCAGTCTGTCTCTGCTTTTGTGTCCTTGGGCCAAGACACTTAACCCACACCGCTGGTGGTGGTCAGAGGGGGTGGTCGCCCCAGTGTACGGCAGCCTTGCCTCTGTCAGGGCACCCTGCAGCTGTGGCTACATAGTATCTCACCACCTCCAGGGTGTGAATGTGTGTGTGCGTGGGTGGGTGAATGACAGATTGTGTTTCTAAAACGCCTTGGGGGGTTCTAGGTCTCTAGAAGTTGCTATATTAAATCCGGGCCATTTAGCATCAGGAAAACAGTGATTTCAATCTCAGAGCGAGCATCGAACTTCGTTTGAGCTCTTATGTAAACAAAAGATAAAAGAAGAGATTCAAAAATACCATACAGCAAAACTAGTGCATTTTTATGTGATCACATACCTGTGAGAATACCAGGCAGAAAGATAAAAAACAAATAAATTCATCGTTTAGTAGTCATCGCCTCTGACCAAAGTCACATCTGATAGTTTGGTCAGATGTCACTAATCACCAGGCTGAAGATCACACTAAGCCACGTGGCAAAGCTAGGCCTTTTAAAATATTTTTTTTGTATTCAGAGAAGTCATTGGCAAGCTTAACACACACACACACACACACACACACACACACACACACACACACACACACACACACACACACACACACACACACACACACACACACACACACACACACACACACACCATTGGTCAGCCCCTTACCTCTGTCTCTGAATGGAGAAAAACATGAGAACCTGAATGAAAATGTGTTGCTTTGAAAATATCACACTTAGTGGAAACTGGTGAATTTTCTTGGGTGGGGCACATTTTAGCAAGTCAGTTTTCAGATGAGCTCTGACCATCTAGGGATGCCAAATTATAATTTTTAGGTTTTAAGGTTAGATCTAGCATCTCTCCTTCAGTCTTATCGCTGCCTCTCCCGACTCCAACCAGGCCCATCATCCTAGATAGCTTTGCTCCTGTTTCTTTGCCTGAGTTAACCAAACTAGTTAACTCTTTGAAGACCTCTGCATGTCCCCTCTACATCTTACCCTCATCTTTGTTTAAAAGTGCTTTTCAGTCCATCGGCCCCAGCGTGCTCTCTATAATTAATGCTCCATCAAACTCTTGATGGAGCTATGTCAAATGCAGTATTTTACCATTTCAATTCATAAATCAAAATCAAAAATATTTCATAAAAATGTATCTGAAAGAAAAGAAAAAGTTAAAGTCACGCTGATGTAATAATCAAAAACATTTGAGCTTCATTTTAACTTATCATTAGATAAACTTGCCTCAAAGTCTCACAAACATCACACAAACCTTTAGATTGAATTTTATTTAACCTTATAATTGTTCACCTGCGATTGGTCCATTTAACATCACAAGTTTGGTTTAACCAAATCTTGGTTCCTTCAGTGCGTTTCTGACATCATGTTAAACACTTACTGAACATCCTGTCGTGCGGGGGTCTGTTCAGAATTACACAAGAATCCACAGATTTAATGAACTGGGTCGTTTTCATCTTTGATGAATCAAAATAAAATACTTCACAGTTTAGACAGAAAACACGATGTGACATGAGAGGGTGGCGATGGATGGGAGGTGAGGTCCACGTGTCCTCGGTATGATTCAGCAGACATTTCAAAGTTTGGGTGTCCTAAATATTCTAATTGTTGTTTTTTAATATTTGCTCAGCTGGACTTTTATTATTTAAATATCTCTTCCATAACTGACCTGTTTTATTGGAGAAAAAAATTACAAAAAGGCATTAATTGTATTTATCTTCATTATTAGTACTGGTAAATATTAGTGAACACTAAATTAGGTTAAGGTGAGCTCAGTAAATACACACACACACACACACACACACACACACACACACACACACACGCACACACGCGCGCACGCGCACACGCGCACACACACACTAGCTGCTGTTGTTGTTCTCCTCCCCCTCCTTGTGCCGAGGTATTTTTATCTGTACCTCAGGGCAGATTTGAATCTAATGGGATGGGAAGGCTTGTCAGCTGTAGTTTGTGTGTGTGTGTGTGTGAGTGTGTGTGTGTGTGTGTGTGTCCTAGTTGTTGTCTCACATCCTCCAGCTTTAAGACAGTGGACTTGTCAGTTGTTGCAACACGCTGAACTGAGATTGGCTGCCGCTCCTCCAATAGGGACTCAGATAATGAAAGAACAGTGGTTTTCGTGTATTTTAATTCCCGATAAATGCACAATTTCATTTTATTCTGTCACCCTATGAGTCATTTGGAAACAATATCCCACATTGTCTTGTCTGGAGTAATCCTGTTTGTCTGCATCCAGCATGATTCTTTTTAAATTGAATCTCTTTCCTGCTCTAAATTTCACCAAGTTCTGTACTACTTTTCTGTCCTCCCTTGATTTCCTGCCCCATCAGCAGGACTCCCCCATCAAGGTCTCTAAAGAGCTGAAACTGAAAGTTTCAGTGACAGAAAAGTCTCTGAAACTGCTCACACTGAACAAAAACTCGAACAAAAGGATTTTTTTCCCAGGCCCTGGATCTTGACCTCTTTGTGAACAGCTGATGTTTGTGTGTTACCTCCTCCAGGCTTAGCCAGTGTCAGCAAGGTCACCATGACTGCAGGAGACATGTACAGGGACACCAGTTTGACTGAGGAAGTTACCAAAACAGGCTGAGAAGGATTTATTCAACTACTTTGGTCATTAAAAGTTATACTACTACTACTACTACTAATAATAATAATAATAATAATAATTTTTCCTGCTCTTCTTCTCTAGGTTTTATTCTTAGGTCATGTTAGTTTCCTCCCTGATTAGTAAATGAGTTCACCTGGTCTCTCTCTCCCCACACACCTGCAGCTCATCTCCCTCTCATCCTCCCCTGTGTATAAAACCCTGCCTGTGTCACAGTGTTTTGTCGGTTCATTGTTTCTTGTCAGTCTCGTCTCGTTTGGCTCGCTAGCTTCTAGTGTTTTTGGATCTCTGATTTAGTCATTTGGATTTTTGGTTTTTGGCTCCCTGCCTTTTGGATTACTCCTAAATAAAGGATTTCATTTTCATCATCTACCTCCTGCCTCGTTCATCTGGTTTCCTGCATCTTGGGTCCTAAACTTCCTCCTGCCTTAATCGTGACACCTTTAACATATCAGCGAGCAGATGTTCACTTGCTGCCACGAGTCACTTTGAAGACACAGTGTTTTTCGCTTCACCTGCTGTTAGACACAATGTTGGGACTGACTGCTGATCTTTTTTGTGAAGCTCCTCATTGCACTTTTCAGCTTTTCGTCGTTTTGTTTCTGGTTGATGGAGACAGTCGTCATTTTTAGGGGTGAGAGCGGTGTCGACACATTCTTGTCAGAAACAGCAAAAGCTGCAGAAAAAAGGCTGAGCAAGATTCTGCTTGAAAGACTAAATTAAATGGGTCGTCTTCATACGCCACAAAGTTCCCAGAGAAATTATGATGTCGGTGCTTTTGATTAGAACAGAAAAAGGTGTGCTTCTATTGACGGATGAAGAGCTCTGTCATGAATGGAGGTGACTCACAAAAAGGAACACGAAGGACGGTCGGTAGTCCTCCCCATAAATCCCAGTGATGCCCCAGGGTGCATTTATAATCATCTGTGTTGGTCTTTTCCTCCGTTTAAGTCTGTATTTAGAGCCATTAACCCACTGTATGTAACCCCTCTCCCGCACTCCTTCATTCTGCTTCCTAATAGCCTGGATTAGCTGCTCCTTTAATAGACTCATCCATCTCCTCTGTTTATTCACCAGTTTTACACACATTCTTCCTCTCCACCTCTTCCTCCCTCCATCTTCTTGGCTCATGGGCAATTACACAAACAAATGCCGTTTGTTTTTCCACTCCATGTCTGGCCGGAAAAGGCAAAGTAATGGATTTATCATGCCGTTACTGTTTTAAATCCAAGGTCAGCTAGTGGAGTATATCCTCACAGAGGGAAAAGGTGGTGTCGTGCAATCGCTGCTTCAGTTTGCACATTTAGCATGTAGATTTATGTAAATTCTTTCCTCAGAGTTTAGTCTCTATTGGACAGAGCTTCAGCCCCTGCCAGGCAGACCCAGAATTTATCCAGCCTGACGTGGAGGGATAAAAGCGAGGGAAGGTAGGAGGTCTGTCTGTGATCAGACATACGCAGGTGTAGAGGGTAAACATTGTTGCTTTTAAGCTTAATATATTACCTTTACTTATGACCAATAAGCTGTGATATTCTATATAAATGTAGAATTTCAAGCTGCTTGGTCTTTGGATGTTTAATCAGAAGATTCTAGGATTCTTTGTTTATTCAGGGATCAACACACTTCGTCTCAATTCAGACAGAGTCAGGTTTATAAAAAGCAAGAAATTTATTTTCCAAACAATTAAAAACAAGACATGTTAACTAAGACTACTGTGATGGATGGATCTAGGTGGATGGGATGTGATGTATCGTGACTATGTGTGAATGTGAGGTAATCAGAACCTTCGTGTCTAGAAGAACTGAGTTCTGGGTTCTGGATATCGTTCTTTCGGTCACTAGCCAAAGCTCATGACCATAGGTGAGGGTAGGAACGAAGATCGACTGGTAAATCGAGAGCTTCGCCTTCTGACTCAGCTCTCTCTTCACCACGACAGACCGGTACAACGCCCGCATCACTGCAGATGCAGCACCAATTCGCCTATCGATCTCACGCTCCAGTTTTCCCTCACTCGTGAACAAGACCCCGAGATACTTAAACTCCTCCACTTGGGGCAGGACTTCATCCCTGACCCGGAGAAGGCATTCTACCCTTTTCTGAATCAAGACCATGGTCTCAGAGATAGAGATACATGTATATACATACATACATACATATATATGTATGTATGTATGTATGTATGTATGTATATATATATATATATATATATATATATATATATATATATATATATATATATACATACATACATACATGCATATATATGTATGTATGTATGTATGTATGTATGTATATATATATATATATATATATACATACATACATACATACATACATATATATGTATGTATGTATGTATGTATGTATGTATGTATATATATATATATATGTATGTATGTATGTATGTATGTGTATATATATATATATATATATATACATACATACATACATACATATATATGTATGTATGTATGTATGTATGTATGTATATATATATATATATATATATATATATATATATATATATATATATATATATATACATACATACATACATACATATATATGCATGTATGTATGTATGTATATATATATATATATATATATATATGTATATATATATATATATATATATATATATATATATATATATATATATATATATATATATGTATATATATATATATATATATGTATATATATATATATGTATATATATATATATATGTATATATATATATATATATATTATGTATATATATATATATATATATATATATATATATATATATATATATATATATATATATATATGTATATATATATATATATGTATATATATATATATATATATGTATATATATATATATATATATATATATATATGTATATATATATATATATATATATATGTATATATATATATATATATATATATATATGTATATATATATATATGTATATATATATATATATATATATATATATATATATATATATATATATATATATATATATGTATATATATATATATATATATATATATATATATATATATATATGTATATATATATATATATATATATATATGTATATATATATATATATATATATATATATATATGTATATATATATATATATATATATATATATATGTATATTTATACATATATATATATATATATGTATATATATACATCCAACCGGGAGGAGAATTAAAGGGACACCCAGGACACGTTGGAGGGACTACATCTCTCACCTGGCAAGGGAACACCTTAGGATTCCTCTGGAAGCGCTGGCCCAAGTGAATGGGGAGAGGGAAGTCTGAGCCTCTAGAATTAGACAGTTGCCCCCGCGACCCGACTCCGGATAAGTGGAAGAAAATGGATGGATGGAGCTAACCAAGACAAACCCTGAAGAGCTCAATATTCAGTGAGGTCTCACACGTTCTTATTTTAAATGTTTGACAAATCAGATAGAAGCTTGATCTGTCAACAGGTGGATAATCTAGATGTCATAGATCAAATTAAAAGAAAACGGGTGTAATGGAATGAAATGACTGTTTTCCACCTAAAAGTTATTTTCCCCATCTCTCCTCAGCAAGAACTAATCTGCATGAGATATTGCTCAAGGTCATGCATTTGCTTCTAAAACTTTTCCTTTCCAGCCCAAAAGAAGAATGAAGACAATGGACTCTTTCTTTTTGATAAATCAAAGAACTCTATTTTTAATAAAGTTAGTCAATAATAAGATGTTGACCAATCTGTGAAATGACAATGTTATGATTAGCAAGTTTTAATAAGTAATATGACTTTAATCTAGCTGCAGTAGACATCCTGATCACACGTAATGTAAACGCATGACTCATTGCTTTTACTCATCCAATCGGAAACTTCCTTTCTGAAGCGTGGACAAACGTGTCAAATGTGGTGTCCATCAACTTCACAGTGGTAGACATGATCGTGAGCTATCCAGTGTTTGTAACTAACGTTGAAGCGTTTCCCTTCGTGTTGGGAGGGGACCTGCTCCAACGCTTAAAGGCTGTCATTTCACTCGGTGATTGGACACTCCAAACTCGGTTGACTCAACCGATGCCCTTGGCGTCGCTTGAGCACCTCATTACCTATTCAGGCGGTGTTAACCACAACGGCGCCGCCAGCCTGGTTGGTCAAATCAGTTACAGTAAGGTCAGTGACATTCAGAGAGTCTGCGTCGTCTCTACATCAGGACAACTCCACCCTGTGGTGGGGAAACCACCTACCCTAGTGGGAGTTGGCAGTTGCAGTGACACACCACCTGAGACTCCACACCCTGCGGTGGGGACACCACCTGCCAAAGGGGGCCTGATGGTGGTGCTGATACTCCAGTTGAAGACCAGTACCTTGCGGTGGGGACTCCAGCTGCCGAAGGACAGGCTGATGATGTCACTGACATTACTGCACTACAGCAGGCGCCGGTGACCTATAGCCCCGAGGTTGGTGACTCACCTACCAAAGGCGAGGTTGAACGGTGCCCGGTACCACCACTGATTGACCCTGATCTCTCTGACTGCACCTGCGTGTCGACCGAGGGCCCTCCAGAGCACCCACCTGCACCGAACCCTCGCAAGGCCACGCCAGTCAACAGTCTACAACGTTCCTGGTTTCCATTTTCAGGTCTGACGAAATACGTTTTGTTAGTGGCGTGTTTTGGACTGCTATCAACCACAGTTGAACTTAATTCTCAGCTACCTCTAACCCGTCTGTACGAACCTGGGCCCTCTTCGGGTATCACACTCCGAGACCGCCCAGGTCTACTAATGACTAACTATTGTCTATTTACACATAAGATTTTCGTCAAACACAGTTCGTCGACACGTTGATGAGCTTAACAGAGAATTTCCGGCTCTGCGTAAGCAGGTACTGCAGCAGCGGCGTGCCCTGAGACAGCTGGGCACGTCTGAAAAACAGACTGTGGTGGTACTCAACACTCATAGCGATATTTTGCGTAAAGCAACTTCCGCTGTGAATGAGTTGTGTTCCTTTGTGAATGTTGATTTTGCTCATACACAGATGCTGACCATTTGCCTGTCCGACTATGGTCGGGACATGAGCGCCTTGATCGATACCCTCCTCATGGGGAGGATCCCTCCGTACCTCGTGTCCCTGGCCATGGTCAGATTGCGATTGCTCGTGTGGCCTCGAAGGGCCCAATGGCTCTTCAGACTCACTAGGCTTTCTCATTGGGCAGTGCTATCCCGTTAAGTGCCAATCCAGATGCTAGAGAGCTAGCCTTCATCATCAACTTACCTATTGTGTCTCCAAATGACATCTATAGATTAAGAGATGTGGTGAATGTAGGTAACTGGGTTGACGACACTCATGTCAGGTTACATACGCCTCCGGTCGTTGCGTACCACGAGGCCACGCCGCATGTCCGGTTAGTCCAGGACCTGCGCGTGTGTTCTCTCACACGTGGCCTACACTTCTTGTGTCCAAGTACACCTTTTCTGTGTGGCGGTGCCACTGGTGTGTGTGGCATTGATGATTTTCAGGTGATTCAAAATGTCCTATAACTGTGACTCCACGTTCACATGTTGTTCATACTACTGCTGTTGTTGTTGGTAACCGTTGGTTACTTAATACCCCTGCTAGAGAGCTGATGTTTTCTATGAGCATCATGGTGTGTCTACACGAGTTGCGCTTCCCTCTCAAACCCTATGGGTAACTGTTCCATGTGGCACTACGGTCCATGTAGGTGAGGTCTCTATATTATTTGGACCCTGGTGAGCATAAGTCTAAAGTGGAGTTTTCTCCTTTTTATGATAACATCTCCTTTGCTCTTTCTCCAGCTACGGTGGATCGTGTTACATTCGATGGTCTAACCATGCTTCGGGTGGGTGTGGTGAACAGGGTGCTGCGTGAGTTGTCGGCAGATCCCGGTCCCAGGTTTCAACCAGTGTCTTACTCCTGGTACTCCGCTGATTCTGTCGTGATATTCACTGCATTCCTAAACCTCTGCCTGTCATGAGGTTTGTCATTTTTCCTGTTCCGTCACTTCTCCGCACGGTTGGCCTTTCCAGGGTACTTGGTCCGCAATGTCGGGTGGCGCCTGTCTCGGGCCATCGCACCGGTTCGTGAAGCACCGGCTGCCCAGGTGCCTCCGCCTGAGCTGGCCGGTCCTGCTCCTCCACCTGCACCTCCTGCGCCTTCAGCTAGAACTTCGAAGGTGGAGTGATTTCTATTGCCAGACTCGTCGGCTCCATAGTGCTCTATCTCGAGTTACACAAGTTTGTCTATGTTTGTTTGTGTGCATGGTTGTCTTTCCTGCTTACACATGACGTGCGGACTTGGGTGATTTGAGATGAACATGCTGTGGGTTCCTGAAGTCAGGTAATCAGTTAACAGTAGATGGGTTTAGTCCACATATTACTGTTATCCAAATTTGTTTTTATTTTCACAAATCGTAATTCCTTATGGGTACATTTACATGTAGGTTGATTACTAACTTCACAGATTTACATTTTTAGTGCTCTTTGACTCATATATCTATCTTTTTTATAGAATTTTGCCACAGTGATTAAGTTTAGAAAACTTTATGATTAACTTTGTTAATTTACCATTATGGGCTACAACCATTTTTGCCCTTAATTTTGATTACACTTTTACTTAGTGCAGTGATTTCTCCCATACGCAGTACAGGGTTTTATTAGTTTTATTCTTTTTGTACCACTTTTTCCAGTACACGTGGTGTATTGCATCCATTTCTTCACTTAAAATGCTAATTCACATAATTGCTACACATAGTACATGTAGGTACTCATACTGATAGGTTTCTTTTTGTTTATTAATTAGCATTAGACGCCATTTTGTTGTGTCTACATTGAAGTGCCCTGTGCTGTGCTCTCTCTCCTCTGCTGAGTTTTGTCGATGATCCGTGATTCCTGGGGGTGGACCTATGATTCGTCATTGGATTCTACTCCTGATTGGTGTTCCGGCTCATAGGACCTGGACGCACGTGGATTCCGGCATGGTTGCTGGGATACTTCGCTTGCTGGGACCTGACCTACCTGCTGCTCTTTCCTGCACTGGATCACGATAAGTGCAATTACAAAGATCAATATACTATTTTGGAAGAATTCCCTACCCGTGGATATGTAAAGTTTAGCTCCTGCTTCAAATTGTTACTTCCACGGGGATATCTTGATAATCTGCTGACTTGCGTGCTTCCAAAGGGATCATGCAAGACTGTACTTCGGAGTGGCTTTCGTACCTCATCCCCTTTTGGCCTCTTCCTGGGAACTGCACCTTCCCCTATCGTCAGAGTCCCTTTAGGACTCTGGTTTGTTCAACGCCAGGTGGTCTCTGTACGGACCACCATACCATTGAAAAGGGAGGATATGTAACGGAATGAAATGACTGTTTTCCACCTAAAAGTCATTTTACCCCCTCTCTTCAGCAATAACTAATCTGCATGAGATATTGCTCATGGTCATGCGTTTGCTTCTAAAACTTTTCCTTTCCAGCCCAAGAGAAAAATGAAGACAAAGGACTCTTTCTTTTTAATAAATCAAAGAACTCTATTTTTAATAAAGCTAATCAAACAAAGTGTTAGTCAATAATAAGATGTTGACCAATCTGTGAAATGACAATGTTATGATTAGTAAGTTTTATTAAGTAATTCGACTTTATTCTAGCTGCAGTAGACATCCTGATCACTCGTAATGTAAATGCATGACTCATTGCTTTTACTCATCCAATCAGAACCTTCCTTTCTGAAGCGTGGCATAGTCTCTGTGGTGTTTATAAATCTGCCCAACTTTGATTTGACCATAAATCAAAACATCCAGATTAATAAAACCAGTCCCACACCATCTTAAGTCAGTTCAATGCATTCTAAGAGAAGTAGGACCGGCCACCCGGACTTCATTTTTAAGCAAAGAACCAACAAGCTGGATAAAATCTGTTGCATTTTACCAACCAAGCAACGGTTCCTTTCAGATTAAAAGCTGAACTCACTGACCCTCCGGGTCCATCTGACGCTGTCAACCAACTGTCGCTTTTTACCTGGAGACAATCCAAAAATGAGTCTGTCGTACTGCTGATGCTGTTTCATCGGCTCCGGTACCAAAGGGGGGCCCGGGGACCTGGCATTCTGGATCTGTACGGAGGTCTCATCCTAATGGTATGTGTGGAGCGACAACATGGCGTCTTATGTGTTTATGAAACTCCGATCACTTCATCACTCAGACTTGCTTCTCCGGATACGAGAGTTCTGATGACAAACATCACTCACACGTACACCATTCATCTCACGTCTCATTCACACTGAGATATATCCATTCACTTAGAATTTAGAGTTAGTCTTGTTTAAAATTGTTTAGAAATAAATCTTCTTAAATTTTAAAGGTGACTCTCTCTTTTCTTGTCTCTCAGTTAATACGAAGTGTCACATAATCCCTGCAATAAAAAGTTCCAATCTTCTGGTTAAAAGTACCCAAAGATCCATAAGATTGATTTCATGTCATGACTCCCATCTTTCACCCTCCTCTGCCTCTGCTGCCTCCTCAGCAAGCCCTGAGCCACTTCTTTCATCTCACCTGTCCCTGTCATCAGCTCATTACACACACCTGCTCCCCCTGCTATATATTCACCAGCCAGCCAGTCCCCTGCCAGATTATTGAAAACTTTTTATTAGTAGATCTTCCAGCCTTGCACCTTGCCTTCACAGCCTCTGGACCTCGTTTTTTCGCCTGACCCCTGCCTTGAACTCTGCCTGCCACCACGACCCTCACCTGTCTACTACCACGTCTCCAGCCTGCTCCCTGTACCTGCCTGTCCCGATCTGGTTTTGACCCACGCGTCCTCTCCGACTCTGTCTCCTGCCTCACCCTCCTCTGGTAACGCTACATCAATAAAGACACTGTATGAAACTTTTACTGTGTTTGGCGTCATCACGGGTCTTCCAAATTCTGGTCGTGGCATTTCATATTTACTATGAAATCTTATGTCTTATGTTTCATGAAATAGATGTAAAATGTAACCCTTTCCATGGGTGAAATCCCACAGAATCCAGTTTTTGATCCTATATGTTTCACTGAAAAACAAAATTAGTCATTGAAGGAGTGTTTTTTCATTATGAAGTCACAGATAGATCAGCTGTAGGATGCAGCTGTGTGTGTGTGTGTGTGTGTGTGTGTGTGTGTGTGTGTGTGTGTGTGTGTGTGTCTAGTCTACATGCTGTTTAATGATTTGCTGCCATTTCCCTAAACAGGCCTGTAAAAGACAGAAGCTCCCTTAAGCTACTCAGATCTTGCGCTTACACACACACACACACACACACACACACACGCACACACACACGCACACACACACGCACACACACACGCACACACACACACACACACACATCAGCACTACAAACAAATCACTATGCTTAACCCGTGTTACAGTTCGTGATTGCAGGCCCCGCTGACGTTCATGCTTCAACTTTCAGCTGTCACCCACCCACTGCTCCCCACCCCACCCCCCACTCATTGCTTCCATTTGTCGTGTTTTCCTTTTTCTTGATTCCCTGCTGGGAGGAAAATTCCTCTTATCAGCTCGAACCAGATGCAGCCCTCCGTGTGTGTGTGTGTGTGAGGATTATCCCTGGCCTCCGATTGGCTGAGCGGTACAATCCTTCATTTCATGTAGGGGATGACTCTGGGTTTTATTTTGGAAAGAGCAAATTTCATTTGCTTTTTAAAGGTTGTGTCTTTTAAATGGCACAAGCGTAATTACAATGTGAAGCATCTTAGGGTGACATTTCAGAAAATCCATTAACTGCTTCCTAATCAGATTGTATTTTGCATCCATCGTGTGTGTGTGTGTGTGTGTGTGTGTGTGTGTGTGTGTGTTTCCAGTGACTCATTGAGCTTGTCTAAGAAAATTAGTATCAGTTCAGCTCATTATGTTGGTCCCTGCTAGCCCCTTCAAAGAGTATCCTTTCCTCACCCGTGTGTGTGTGTGTGTGTGTGCGCATGTGCGTGCGTGTGTGTGTGTGTGTGTGTGTGTGTGTGTGTGTGTGTGTGTGTGTGTGCGCGTATTCGGTAATGTCCAACTGCACTTGAATATGAACACCCGTCACCTAATTATAGGGTGATTTCATGTGACCAATCCAGCACAGTTGCTGTCATCAAAGGTCAACATCTATTGGCTGGAGATCGAGAGCTGCCTTTTAGATTTGGTCCTCTATTCAGACCCACAGCTAAAGTCACATGACTGTGACTGTATGTGTGTGTGTGTGCGTGTGCGTGCGTGCGTGCGTGCGTATCTGTGTGTGTGTGTGCGTGTGTTGCCAAAATTCAGAAAAATGAAAAAGTCTCCTCTTTGTAGTTGCCATAGCAACCAGTGATTCACCGCATCTGGCAAATTATAGGGCTCTATTGAAGGGCGAGAGGGGTGTGTACTTACTTGAGAGTGTGTGTGTGTGGTTGTGACAGAGTGTGTACCCCTGCTGCATACCAAAATAAAGAGTAAGGTGAAAATCAAAAGGAAAGAAAATGATCAGTTTAATCAGTAATGTAAGCCGGTCAGGTGTGACACACACACACACACACACACACACACACACACACACACACACACACACACACACACACACACACACACACACACACACACACACACACACACACACACCATTATGGCCAGACAACAGCTCTCTACACATTTGCTGCTTTATTTTCTTCTTGTTTCCATTTAAAGGTTTTTCCCCCCCTCTCCTGTTAATAAGATCCTCACTCACATGCATGTCCAGCTCTGAGCTTCCTAGTGCCTTAACCAGATCCTACAGCCTCTGTATGAGTCTGTCAGAAAAAAAACATCTGAATCTCTGGACAGCATTCAACAAAACTCGTAGAAACTGGATGCACATCTTCATTAGCCATAGCTAAGGAAACGTAGCAAACAAGAAATGGTTAAAACCTGGTTAGTTGTACACATTGTCAAGTTAGGATTTGTTGTTGTAGAATTAGATAACAACACTCTGATACTAAATAGTACAAGATCTAGCAACTTAAGCAGCTGAAAATGTTTTATTTCTCACCCTACGATGGTCCTAGTGTAAAGCTTGGGGTAAGTAATCGCTGATTTGCCGAACTTTAAAATATCAGCAGTTTTTCTTGATTGTTTAAACACTATAACCAGCCTTTTGAACTCTAAATTCCAAAACCATAATGCCCTTTTTTCAAAAAGGACACCCATTTCCCTGAACCATACACACTATTCTCTGCTCTAACACGAGTCAGATTTGGTGAACTGTTACTGCAAAACTCTAAACACAAATCCCTATGTTTTTCAGTGCTGACACCATGTGGTCATTTAGAAAGCACTAGCAGTCAATAATGTTACCTGAAGTCAGCACAGCTTGAGCTCAATTAGGACACCTGTGCCCAAGATAAAACTGTCACCTCAAGTAGTACCTGGAGTACCGGGACCAGAGTGAATAGGGTGTGTATGGGGAGCATGAGTGGGTGTCGGGCGTGCATTTTTGTAAGTCTTTGGTTGTACGTGCATGTGTGAGCATGAGGGAGGGAGTGTGTGACGGTGTTTGTGTATGACTGCATATGTCAGGTGGGGCCTTTGACTCCTCTCTTCTCCTGGGACTTCTTTTTATGATATAGATCTTCGTCTCCCCTCCCCCTGCCACACCTGGTGTGGAGTGTGGTGCCTTGGTCTGCCTGAGTGTTCGTGGCTCCCGGGTCAGAGAGTTTAAGATCTTTGGCGCCTGCCTGACCAATCCCGGTGGCCGCCTGGTGGGGTCTGAGTCCCTTGGCTCTGCTGCGTCCCCAGCGGGGGTGGTCGCCCCTGGGTCCTGGGTCCCGGGTCGCTGGGTTCTGGGCTCGGTGGGAGGCTGCGGGCGGGCCTGTGGGCCTGCCGCTGATATATCCCGGGACTCTGCCGGCTGCTGGTTGTGGCCCCCTGGGGCGATCCTCTGTGACTCTCGAGGGGGGCGGGGGCCTTTCTGGTTGCAGTCTCCTTGGGGTTCCTGTGTTCTGGGGCAGCGCCTGGATCTCTGGGACTTGGAGCTCCCCCCGTCTCCTACACATCTTTAGGGGGCGGATCTGTGGTCCCTCACACTCTCTATCGGATGCTCCTATAGAGAAACCTTACATAAACAAGCACATGTACACACACAGGTGCTCACATGGTGCTCTCAAAGGTATGGGCTTGGGCACGTTCAACATGTCTTAAGGCTGTGGTTGGCACTTAATGCACTGTGATTTATTATCGTGTGATTGTTCAGTTAAACAATGTTGATTTTATATTTCATCATCAGGTTGACGCAGTGATAGCTTGCTCCTGTTGTATTGTGTGTCCCATTTTTTTCTGCTCTTCTCTTTCTGCAGGTCTAGAAGCAGACTCTTGTTTATTTTTGTGACCCACCCCCACCCCCCCCACCCCACCCCCACCATCACCACCCCCTTCCCCCCATCTCCCCACCTTTTGTCTTTTCTTTTCTTTTTCACCTCTGACTCTGTGTCTGGTCGGAATTACAAAGCATTCAAGAACAACAACAATAAAGTTTTAAGTATCAGGCGTGACATTAAACGCAAACGCTTTGATGCTCCACCTGAGAGTAAATCTGTAAGGCTTGTCACCAGCATTCAGACATCAATTCTGCTTGCTTCACAGCCAGACAGGACACGGTAAAAATAAATAAATAAATAAATAATGAATAAATAAATAAATAAAACTGTCACCTCAAAACATTATTACCTGTGCTCAAAATGAAACACTGCTCTCACATGATAAACAAATTTCTCAAACTCACACTTTCAAGCAGTCAGTAAACAATACACCAAATGTAGAAAACACATTGTTCAAAACC